TGAGGTGGACACGCTCCAAGTTCTTCTAAAGGTGAAGACAAGGGAGAACCAGGCCCTCCAATCCGAAATCAAGTCCTTGAAACACAAAAAGAAACTCGCCTGCACGATTAACGTAGAGCAGCTTGAGGAGAACCAAGAGGATCCTTCCCCTCATGGAGGGATATCCTGGCTGACCGATCAGGTGTGCACACCAGTTAACATAGCTTGGGCTGTCACGATAGGATCGGTGGCTTTAGCATTAGCGCTGCAGGCTCACAGGGAGCAGGTCTAGGTTTAAACCCAGACCTGAAACTGCTTCCTGTAGTCTGCTTATGTGGGTTTACACCAGGAGCTCTGGTTTCCCCGCACATCTGAACTACAAACACCTGTAGATCAGATGTATATTAAAAAAAATATTTATATTTAGAAGCAGGCACAGAACTCATTTAATTTCAAACCTTTATTTATCCAGGTGTATCCCATTGAGATCATTGATCTCTTTTTCAAGGGAGACCTGCTCAACTACAACATTAAACTAATATAGAAAGCAAATGGCACAAAGCTAGGAGATTGGGGTTACCGGAACACCACCGAGTCTATAGGACTAGCTATAAAGTCAGACTGATTCCTGTAGTCGGCTAATTTGGGTTTACACCAGGAACTCTGGTTTCCCCTCACATTGAACTACAAACACCTGTAGTTCAGATTTATAAAATGTATTAATGGAATTTACTTGTAACAGAGGTGGTCTCGGGTGCCAAAGAGCTCGGTCTCCGTTATGTTTTATATAGCTTCAGTATTGGTGAAGCATATTCACTTCGTACCACACACGGTCATTTATAAGTTCACAGGAAGCATTACATTCATAGAGCTAGTGTGGCATTTAAAACCCTTGTATTGAATGGTTTACGTCAGCAGAAAACACATGTTCATCCTTGATGCCAGGGGGCTGGATTGGCCGCGCCGACCTATAGATAAACATATGGCGATTAGCGCCTCCAGCAATTTGTTAGTTGTTCAATTTATAACTTAGAAAATATATTAATGGAATTTACTAAATAAAGTGAGACCAATTTAAATGTATCTACTTCTGACTCTGTTGTGACTACTTATTTCATATTAGGAATATGTGTTTTAAGCACTCTTATGTGTTTGGTGTTCATACTGCATATGTAGATTTGGGCTAGGATGCAGTGAAATCAAAGATCAGACTTTTAAAGTCCTGTGCTCATATAAAGTATGAACCCGGTTTTTTTACTGTCATTATTCTTGTTGGAGACTTGTCACGTAAATGAGAAAACATAATCATTGTCAAACACTGGAAATATCATGAACATAGCCTGATACATAACCATACTATAAATTCAGATACTTTATTACATTATTTGGACATGCAACACAAGCTATGATAGCCTATACACTATGTTTAGATAACAAATATCGCACCACTGAAATAACATTGGTTTCATATTGTGTATGTGATTTATTTTGGGCAAACAAAACTATAGTTAAAGCAAATTACAGCATATCTGATCATTTTTTAAATATTGTAACGGTGCACTATCCATGCAACAAAAAAGTGCCTTTTGTTTCTGGTGTAGGCCTAATGTGATCTTAGTTTATTCTTAATAAATATAAGATAAGATGACATAAACATTTGTGTTCCCACAGTGGGAAATGCTCTCATTTCAGCTGCATGTGAACAGGTATACAGCTTAATCAGAAATGTCAAAAGAAAAATCCAACATTCAATTAAGTTTTTGGTTTCGTTTACTGTTGGGCTGTAAAGAGCTGTGTTAAAACCTGAAAAAGTGAACTTTGAAAGGTGTCTTACCTAGTTTTAATAATAAAAAAGGCTCTGTTAATAACTTGTGTATAAATGTGTTCCTATGAGTAGTTATTGTATGTCTCTACCTCACTTATCATTTTCTGTCGTAAAATTCTTTAAAATAAGAAATTATACTAGAGACAAAAAAATATCCCCTTTTATTGGAATGAACTACTTTCTGGGCTACTACACTTGATACCCACTAAACCCAAAACGTATTTTGGAATACTGAGTGTAGCTGCTAGAAGAAGAAAAATATACAGGGAAAAGGCTTAAACCGGACATCTCAGCTGTAAATGACTGGAAGGATATTATACATCAAATCTTCCTGGTGAAAGAATCCCTTTCTCTTCAAAGCTTCATAAGAATAATTTGAGGAATCTTGGAAAAAGTGGAAGCTAAATATTTCCCAGAGATGGACTTCCTTAGCTGTATTTTCTTTCTCAAAACAGAAAACACCCCTTGTTTTTGCTTAGCATTTATTTATTTCAAATGTTTTCAATCAATCAAAATGTAATCAAAGCTTATTTACATAGCCCAATACCACACATTTTGTCTCAGTGGACAGTTTGTACAGAATATGAATTCTGAAGTTAATGGGGGGGAAATGGAAGAAACCTCTGGGAGAGCAACAGAGGAGGATCCCTCTCCAGGACGGACAGACGTGCAATAGATGTCGTGTGTAAATTAACAAGATAATACATTTACAACATACTGTAGTACATTTTTATATATAAAGCCATGTTAGGGAAACTTCCATCCTACATCTGCTCCCTGATCTCACGGCGAATTGTAAGTGGCTACTGCCTGAGATCGCATGCTGTGGTTTTATTAAATGTGCCAACTGCTAGGACTGTCTTAGGGAAGATAGCATTTAGATGCGCAGCTCCACTGTCTTGGAATAGTCTGCAATTGAAATGGAAACTGAGCAATCTGGTGCCACTAAATGTTTTTAAAGCTCGGTTAGATGCTACTCAATCGGAAGCTGTTGGTACCTGTTCATGTGGATAGTTATGTAAATTGTAATCCCTGTAATGATGCTGTATGATGTCCTTTTGTTGTTCTGTTTATGTTTTTAATGTTTCATGTGGAACCTACTTGAGCAGGTCTCCCTTGAAAAAGAGATCAATGATCTCAATGGGATACAACCTGGATAAATAAAGGTTTGAAATGAAATGAAATGAAATGTTTGGAAATGCATGTGTCTTTAAATAAGAAGATGAATCCAGGTGGATATAAACAATCCTGTCAAAGAAGTAGTAAGGTGAGCATCAGGCACGACCACAGCTTTTTTTTAAAGTTATATAATGTTCTTTGTTTGTGCTTTGGTTATAGAATAGAATGGGAGGGATGAAACCCTCTTTAATGGTCACACATGCAGAGCACACAGCACACACAGTGAAATGTGTTCTCTGCTTTTAACCCATCCTAGTGCCAGGAGTCTACTAGGAGCAGTGGGCAGCTATTGTACAGCGCCCGCGGAGCAATGGGAGTGGGGGTGGGGGGGTTGTCCGGTGCCTTGCTCAAGGGCATAGCCGTGGGAACACCAGGGCCGGTTCTGACCAGTTTGCTGCCCTAGGCAAGATTTTAGCTGGCAATGAAAAACCTCTACAAGAGACCAATACACTACAAAAAGAGAAACGTATTGACATGTTGGACAGCTTATATAAAAAGGCTTCAAATGTATTTAGTATTGTATGAACAGGTTTTAATTGGGGGGTGGACGTCACATCCTCTAGGGGGGTCCGGGGGTATGCCCACTCGGCAAGATTTTTTAAAATCTTTTTAAGTAAAATGCTTCAATCTGTTGCACTTTGAGCACACAATTACTAGAGACTGATCTAGAGGGTACAACTCGAAACACCCATATGAAAAAGATCGGTTTACATTTTAATAATCAAATAATGTGAAACCAATAACCTATAGCCAATAACAAATACATGTAGGCTAACTTATTTTATTTTTGTGGTTCATTTATATCTTATTTTACTAGTTAAAGGTGGGGTAGGTAAGTTTGAGAAACCGGCTCAAGATACACTTTTTGTTATATTCCATGGAATGCTCTTAACATCCCGATAGCAATGAATATCTTAAGTGCTTTGACAAAAAATCCATTAAAAAATGTCATCTGTGGAAGCCGTAGTACTGTAAAAAGCACGACCAATCATTTTTCGCTGGCCCGGCTAAAATAACTGGATGGCCTACCTGCCTGTCAGCCTTCCATCTGTGCACAAATCTCTCCAGTTTTAAACGATATTTTTGGTTTACTGTCCTATAGTATACATTGGAATGATTTCAAACCTGTTGTTATTTATCCTCATAATTATAAAGGAGTGCCTCGGAAATATTTGTTTAGCCTACATAAATTGTGATCTAAACTCTCTCTCTCTCTCTCTCTCTCTCTCTCTCTCTCTCTCTCTCTCTCTCTCTCTCTCTCTCTCTCTCTCTCTCTCTTCCTCTCTCTCTCTCTCTCTCTCTCTCTCTCTCTCTCTTCCTCTCTCTCACTCTCACTTTGGCTGTGAGCTGCGGGCGCCTGATAAGCCAACACCCCCAACTTTCATCACTTACAGCGCCCATCGTGTACAGGGCAAATTGAAAATGTAACCGGGGTGAAATGGGTGTTATCTTTACTTAATTATGAATGTTTATCCCCTGTCCTCCACCAGGGGGTGCTGCAGCACACTCAGCACCCCTACTTCCCACGGCCCTGCTCAAGGGCACCACTATGTGGTGTTATGTGTTATCATACTGAAACAATCTAAAATGATTGAGCTGTGTATAGATCAAACTGATGTTGATTGTATAAAAAAGTGTTATATAAATGCTATCTGACTGCAAATAAAGACAAGAAAATAAAACTGAATTCATACTTAAAAAAAAAGTTTAAAACCTGCACTTTTCCTGATGTAGGCCTACCACAAGAGGTCCTCATTTGCTATAAAAACAGCTAGAGAGTAGCGTGGTACAAATTATAGGATTTATTCGATTTAAAAAGAGTATCTTCAGTAAACTCTCAGTATTTCCCCTTCAACATTTTCTTATAAAACGTAAAACATAGTTAAATGTCCGCAAAAAGGGGAAAATTCAACTCTTGCTACTTTTCATTATGCGCAACAAGTGTGTCCCCAGCCGTGTTTTATTTTGAAATGGCCCCCGGATGTACTAGCTGTGGCGCAGGCAGGCACGCGCTTGACATCGAGGCTGCTCTCAGTCTCAGCATGGACCCGTGTGTTTCCAACCAGCGCCCTATCCATGGTCCGACCTCAAACACGGACTTCTACGTGAAAGAAAATGGTTTTATTTAACAGCGTCGTCTTCGCTACTTATCGAGAAGAACGAGAGAAAGACTTTAAAGAGTTCCCGGAAGTTACCAAAGCGTAGTTGAAGGTGTAGAACACAAAAGACGGGACTAACCGCAGCGTCTGCAGTGAACGCTGCAACAAGGTAAGAAGACTCCATAACTTCTCAAAGTTTAAAAAGTCCAACCCTTCCTCTGTTTTCTGCCTTCCAGCTGTTTGCTTCATGCTACTGTTTGCAGCTACGTGTTGCAACGCTGCGAGCCTCTGAGGTTTGGCAACAAAAGCTATTTTTACTCTTGTGTTGGAGTCGGTCTGATGCTGTTTGCATGCTGTGTCGACTCAGGACTATAATATGCTCTGTTCTACATAATGCATAGTTGCCCGCAGGAAGTGTGTGTTGTTGTGTGGAGCTGTGATATAGCACACAAAAGCCTACATAATGTGGGTATAACAGTGTAATATGGAGGTGTTTTCTGCAGTATTTATGCTGTTGAACACAAAGACATTCTACTTAGTTTGTTAGATGGGCTTCATTTGCTAGCATTGATGATGAGGAAGATGATGGTAATGATGATGACAATTAGATTACATTAAATATACTTTAATGGTCCCAATTATTTTGTTGCAGCAGCATGTACAAATGACATTGCACATTAATATAAATAATAACAATTAACAAATATACATCTATACAGTACAAAATGAAAAAAAACAATATACAAAATAAGAATAATATACATAATATAATGTTAGCTTGTTGTTACTACTAAATAGAATATAAACATGATGATGATAAAGATCATTTTAATAAAGCTTTATTTTTACGGCAGTTTGTATACACAGAATACAGCAAGTGCTTTAAAGGGGCCCTATGATGCTCATTTTCAGGTTCATATCTGTATTTCGTGCTTCTACTGTGACATGGGTTTAGCCTTTACACACCTTTTAAAATATATTACCACACATGCAGTATGTGTACATGATACTTATAGGATTCCAATAAGGGGAAAAAAGCAAGAGAATAAAAACAATCAAATGAATTGCTCAGACGGTGTATGCACTGATCTATCTATCTATCATAGGGTCAATGGTTCGATCCCACCCCATGTCAACATGTGTCCTTGGGCAAGATACTTAACCCCAAATTTCTCCTGAAGGCACGTCTACTGTATTGAAGTGTATGTAAGTAGCTTTGGTTAAAATCTAAATAACATGTTATATATATAAAAAGTAATAATCCATTAGTAAACAATAGGTAACCCACTCAGTAAAATGAATACAGGAACATTTCATAATTAATGATGAAGCACATGGCATTGGTTTATGGTTCACCTTGTCTGACTCGAGGATGTGTTTTTGATGAAGTGTGTGTTCAGAGCTGTGGAGAGAATGTGAACACAGGAATGTGTGAGGAAACAGAGGGGGGGGGGGGGGGGACATTGTGTTTTTAGCAGTGCTACTAGAAACAGACAGTGAATGCACACAGTGACCTGGAACATGTCCTGTCACTCCAGTGTGTTCTCTGAAGTCTCTGAGAAAACACATTGAGGTGACATCAGTAGAAGTTTAACAGGGATCATACTGTGACACAATCAGATCATAACTTCCATGCAAAGGGAGCTAATTTGTTGTTGCTGAAGCCTGTTATTCCTGTCTAGGCATAATTATTCAGAATTTTATCTAAACCAGAATAATATGAACTGATGCAATACACAAAGCAATGCACATGTGTGAAAATATCAGAATAACGTATTGTGTTGCTGCAGGAAAAAGCCTTTATTATTTTAATATATTTTCAATGATAATGTAAACAATGTTTCATTCCCTCTCATATCGGAAATCATATCACATTTGCGAAATCAGTACAGAAAAAAAATTGCAGTTAGTTATTTTTTCTAAATCCTTTCAAACAATAAAAAGAAAACACTTTTTCACATGCATTATCCAAAATCTAAGACCATATCCAGACTTAAATGTTGTTATAACAACAATATATCACAGATTTATGTTGGGCAGTCTTATTTTTAAGATGTTTGCGCCGACAGATGTCACCTTACGTTTGTACCTGTTTTCCTCGCGTCTGTTTCTCTTCTTGTGCACTAATTTGCTTACCGTATTTTCCGGACTATAAGTCGCGTTTTTTTTACCTGTCTGGCTGGTCCTGCGACTTATACTCCGAAGCGACTTATATATTGAATTTTGTCTGACTGCGTTCAAACTCCGGCCAATAGATGGCACTGTATACAATCGTGACAACTGAAAACTGCTGTACCACCGAAGAAGAAAAAAGTCACGGCAACCGGTAGGATCATGGATGTATAATAAGAACTAGGGATGCTCCGATCGCCAATTTTGGGGCCGATCGCCGGAATCAGTATCGGCCGATACCGATCGCCGATCCGATCGAGTGGGCGGGGATCTTCCATTTAAAGTGATGTTTAAAACTCAGTTAATGTGGCTCATTCACTGGCGCTTCCACAAACAACAACCAACATAATTATTACATTGAAATGAAGTACGTTATTCAAGTTTACATTAACTTTGGATAATAACACGGGAGAAATGAGCGGAAGCGCTCTCTTTTCCTCTCTCCCCCTCTCTCTCTCTCCTGACAGCCTGTCAGTATCGTCTCAGTCAGCTCACTGATCCAGTAATGAGTGCCCCGACAGTGAAGAATAAACATATTTATAACTAGTTTAGCTTGTTCCAGAGGTAGATAAAATAGCTAAGTGTGTTAGGTCTAACTCTTAAGGCCCGTCCACACAGCAGCGTTAAAAAAATCTTGGTAGGTGGGCGTATCTGAAGCTTGGGGATTTTTTGCAAGCAACGCGACTAACAACCAATCACATGAATCTCCCGCCCCGACATACAAAGCAAAAAAGCCTGAAGTAAACTGGATATAAACTCCCCAAACAGGCGAAAACCTACCACTGTCTCTGCCACCTCCCTCCATGCCTGGCTCCTCCGGTTTGTATCCCGGTAGGTAAATAGGGACTGGTCATAAAGCACCGGGTGATTCCCTACCGCTATAATTAATTTCTCCTCCATTTTTTGGAATATGAGGAAATGACCTGCGGTATGTCTCTCCCAGCTTACACGCGGTTTGATTGGCTAGCGCTTGTACTGTCAGATTTGCATAAACGGGATTTGATTGGCTGACGCTTCCACCTCAGCTTCAAAAGTTGAACATTGCTCAACTTTTGAAGCCTGAGATGCCTGGAAAGCTCCGCTCTGCTTCCCACAATGCAGTTCGGCGAAAAGTGAGGCAAAGTGACGTCACCCCATTCAAAGTGAATGGGCAGAAGCGTTGGAAGATTTTTTTTAATGCTGCTGTGTGGACGCTCCGTTAGTGTGTGTTTTGCTCCGCTCACAGGTCCGTCACAGTGGGTGGAGCTGCAGGATTTCTGCTTCACACACGTTGCATACCGCTATTTTATTGTCATTTTCGGACACCTTAAAATACTGCCAGACTGGTGAAGCCATTTTGGCGAGCTTGTTTTGCCACGCACAGAGAAAAGTGTCATGTATTTTATGTCATCATTTTACGTCATGCGATCGGCTCTCGCGATCGGCATTTTTTGAGAGCACCGATCAATCGGCAGAGAGTGAGTATCGGCCGATATCGATCGGCAGCCGATCGATCGGAGCATCCCTAATAAGAACGGGCAGGATGCGTCACGTAACTTTCCAGGATGTTGTGGGATGAATCACAGCATGGGCTTCAGTGGCGACCGACACCATCCTGTCTGGATTCAGAAAGATCGTCTAATCGGAGCTGATTCTGATGGAGAGTCTGAGGACAGCCCGGAGCAGGACATGCTGCTTCATCGACACCTCTGTGTCGCTGTTAAACACTTCCACCGGAGTTGGCGGAAGTGTTTAACAGCGACAAAGAGGATGAAGACTTTAGTGGATGAATGCGACTTATACACCGAAGCGACTTATATATGTTTTTTTTCTCTTAACGACACGTTTTTTGATAAGAGCGACTTATACTCAGGTGCGACTTATAGTACGGTAAATACGGTAATTTTAAACTGAAAGCCAATCCCAGTGATTCCTCTCAAAGGTCTGTGACTCAGGAGGAAGAGGGCTTGTCCACATGGTCGGTTGTATGATTCCCAGCCCTTGTGGTCAACATGTCAAAAGTGCAAGATACTTTACACAGATTGCTTCCTGGCCTGGTTAGAGAGTGTGTCGATGTTGATCTCGGGTATAAGGGTAAATAGTGGGGCCGTGATGAATTTTTTTTGCAAGCTACAACATTTATGATTTTTGAAGCGTAAAAAGCTAACGTCAGGCTATAAAGAACTACATCACGGTCACATGACTTCACATCCCCACCGCTAAGCCAAAGGCAGCTAATGATTACTTTTAGCAGCCTCTTGTAGACACTTGTTAGCAACTACCATTGTTTACATATAGAAGCTTTACTCACATATTTTATGTTGTGTTAACCACAGACCATATTTCAGGCTTTTAACCACTAACAAACACGTTCAAAATCGTGTCTTTCGTTCCCCCGTCTTTGGGACGAGGGAACCATAATTGGAAGAATACTAACTCATACATGGTTTTAGGACTCATTCCTGTACCACTCTAGTGCAGCCACTTTACCATGTACCAAGATCCAGGGCTACAGACACTCATCTTGCTGTGTCAGGGACTTTAGAGCACACAGTTTTTCAGAGGCTGGATTTTCGACTGTTTCACATCAAGTGTGGAAATCTGGGAATGTGAGAAATGGAAAGAGCTACAGTGTGTGGAGAAAAGCAAAGAGTGCTGTGGTAAGGACAGAAGACATTTCCTGTACAACAATAACACAGGGAGGGACCAGCAGACATTGGGACAGACAAGGAGAGAATCGAGATTCAACATGACAACTTGTTGGCTGTCAAGCCCTCCTTTATTTATAGCCCTCTGTTATCTCACGTCTCAGGCTCCTTAACAGGCAAAACTACACAGCACACTGAAAGTACACACACCCTATTTTCTCCTGTCTTTCTCAGTGTGTCACACACAGCAGTACACAGTGGTATGCGGGGGCTAACCAGTGTTGGATGTTTTACTGTTGAGTCATACTCTGTCTCTTGTTCTGCTACCATGTCTTCTGAGCTCGGTGTATTTCCTTCTAACTTCTTGTTG